AATATTATTCGTTCTTCATTCATTAGTATCTAAGGTGAATAATTCGCCGGGATAGCTCAGTTGGGAGAGCGTCAGACTGAAGATCTGAAGGTCCCTGGTTCGATCCCGGGTCACGGCATATTCTTTTTTATATATTTCATTAATCTACTTGTTATTTATGTGATATTCAAATCAAATATTAAAAAAGTAAAAGAATCGAATTCTATTAACATATCACATTCTTTTTATTTCGTCTTCGAGACAATGAATTAGATAAGATTATAAATATGAATGAACTGTATGAATATTCTGTTGACAAATATTTTAAATGATTTTACTGAATGACTCCTATGATATTCAATTATACTTTTTTTGTGATAATTAGTTTAATCATGTATATACACACATTCATAATTAATCTTTAATGGCTTAAGAACTATCAATGCATTGATATTTCACTTGTCATATTTTTTTATTTATTTCTTAAATATCTTTTGATATCTTTCTCTAAAAACTACATAAATGGAGCGTCACAATTCACGTAAGGTTCATAGACGCTAGTACGTTTTTCATCTGATTATATACGCTATTGGTTTTAATAATTTATAATGATCAGATTTTATATCATCTATACAATAATACCACATTACCTTATGAATAAATTTTTAACATGCATTTATGACTTGATGCATCAATGACATTGGCATATTGACCATCTGACCAACTTTTGTATACTCGATAATGATAACTTTTGTGATAAGTGTTTCCCTTACTTCATTCTGGTATATATACATCTGTGTTTTTAGGGTCTCCTGTCTTACATGTATATATAACAGAAATGATAAAACGTTTACGCACTACGTAAAACAATTATAGGACGAAACTTTTTCAAATAAAAATATGCGCATCAGATAGATCTCTTGTCATAGTCTTCATCAACTTCGTGCATATCAAGCTGTAAGTGATCTCTCTGTTATAAGTTTTCAAATGCGCTTCGAAGCACTTATTAACGAAATAAACGCACATATATAGCAGCGTTTAAATTAGAATACATCATAAATTTTAATATATCTGAAAAATAGGTTGGTATTTTTTCACTGTTGAGTTAATAATTAAGACGCTTACAAAATTTTCTCTCGTTCTGTTTTATCTATTACAAGATTTTCTTCATATTAGAAATAATGTATAAGCAAGTATATTCAATAAATTATTACTTATGATATGAATCTAACTACTTTGGTATTCCAAGTATGTTATAAATACATACATGAGAGGTGTATTTTTAATCAATTTAAGAGATCACACATCATTGATAATTACAATAATATTCATTTTCTTTATTATGTGATCTTGAATTTCATCTGCATGTTACTATGATGCATCAGAAATAATAATAATAATAATAATAATACTAGTATCTATTAGAAGATTTTATCTTTGAACAATATTTGCATTTGATACAAACATGAAAAACAAAACAAGTTGTTCTTTTCTTGTAATACAATAAAAGTTAAACTAATTATCGATATAGTCCTTGAAAAAAGAAATAGTTTCTATGTCTTTTCATATTCTCATCTCTTTATATTATTAGAGAACATGACAAAAAAAACATCATACAATCTTCTCAAGTACTCGATTCTTTTTCGTTCACATGGGATCAAGAAAAAAAACTAAGACAAAACAATATCATTATTTTCCACTTTCATTTATCTTATTCTATAAACAACATACTGTCATTATGTCTGAATCGGTCTGTGACAAACTTCAGCAACATTGTGCACTTATTGCCTATGCTTTTAGTCCTTCTCATATCAAAGATGTTGTTGTTGGTATGGCAACAACATATGAAAGTAAACGTTTTTTTTATTAAAACAAACAAAGAAGAAATTATCTTATATTTTTTATTTAGCACCAAAAATTATGACAATCAATTCATATCCCATTGCAATAACATGTCGTTTTGTTCAGTTACTTATTTTCATCTATGCATTTGCTTATGTCTTATGGTATAAACGTGGTTATCAAGATCGTGATCAATCTTTGTTATCATCAGTGACACTTGAAGTCAATGGCATTGGATTTCATGAGAATAATTCAACGATCATGTTTGATAATGCTGATTTTATTGTTCCACCTCAAGAAAGTAATGCATTATTTATTATGACAAATCTAATTCAGACAGATCAACAACGAAAACGTTGTGTAGAAGGAATGGATATAGATGATGCTCAATGTACAAATCATTCACAATGTGAAGAAAGAAGTCAATATCGTGAAAGAAGTAATGGACGGTGGACAGGAAAATGTCTTTTATTAGAAAATCGATGTGAAATCGAAGGTTGGTGTCCTGTTGAAAATGATCTTATTATTCCTAAACCAATCATGGGCACATTAAATTATACAATATTACTAAAGAACTTTATTGAATTTGCACGTTTTAATATAACAAGAAGAAATATTTTTAATGAGTCGAAGTATTTCCAAACATGTCGTTATCATCCAATACATGACCGATGGTGTCCAACATTTCGTATTGATGACTTATTACATATAGTTGAAAATGATGAAGAAGAACGTCATGATATGTTAGCACGTGGTGCTGTTTTACGTATTAAAATCGATTGGATGTGTAATTTAGATTTAGGTGAAAATGAAT